GKYCMMCSKTYYTTKRMGTGAGGTTTGCCACCGYTGCTGTCATATTGTTAACCTTTCGACTTACTCTTCTCTTTTGGCTCCTATAAACGACTCTGATAACTTGTAGATCCGCTTGTATTCGACAATATGGTTCGAAAACACTATTAACTCTTAATGTCGACAGCCTGTGTTATTCGCCTGTCAGATTATTTAATGCCTATCGCCTAGATCCATATTGGAGCCGCATATAACACAACCGATCTCATTAMCTTTGCGAGTAAAAATCGCCGGCTGGAACACTAGCAGCCTTTATTTGCCACATTCTTGATAAGGCATTTATTCGCTCTTCTGGAAATGTACTCTAGGTGGTGCTTAAATCTAAGCCGTGAGTCTACTATTACTCCCAGATATTTTAGGTGTGCTTTTGCATGAATCTTACACTTCCCTATGGCGAGGGATATACTTTTGATATTCTTGACACCCTGGTAGTCGAAAAGTACTTTAACGCGACGGTATTTTTCAAGAAAATTGAGTGATTTGGAACCAAACCTGCTTTCACTTTTCTTAGGCTCAAATTATATTTTAAAATGGTTTTCATTTTTACTSAACCTTCCGATATTCCAAGGATGCTAGTAATATCTCTGATTATTAATCGCCRATGCTTAAGTTCCAATTCCTTTAGTTTATTGACGAGTTGATCATTAATCTTGATGGCCCTCCTGATCGTGGTTCGTYATCAACACGTTCTCGACTTTTTTGAAATAATTTTTGGCAACTAAAAATACTTACTGGCGACTAACAACCGAACACCGAAGTCCCTTCCCAACATTCTGAAAGTTTCGGCACCAAAAATTTGATTTGCATGATTCACATTTAACGTAACTTCTCTGTTGAAGAATTACACTCATCATAAAAATCGCCGAATGCACTTTATTCACTTCTGAAAGACAAGCCTTTACTAAGCACTAATTATTATTTTGCTGCGACATTTGGCGCAGATATCACTGACAGTCGTGCCAACATAGAAAAAATATTTRTCGGCAAACGGGTTCTAAAAAGTCTTACTATTTTTTGCCCAAATAGTATCTATGTATGTACTGTAGAACTTGAGTAGGCTCGTTATGTATTAATGAATCCACAAGGTATTTGTAACTATATGAATCGGATTTTAGCTTGTGAATTTAAACGATTTTTTTAATTTTTTACATACGAAAGAAGACATTATTGTTCTTAAAAAAAACTCAATTAAATCAGGATGTATAACGTAACCTTGGTAACTGCATCAGTGGTTCATTCATAACGTATTCAAAAAATAGATGAAAAATCGAAGCCTTCGATGTTTATTTTATCTTTTAGAACGGTTTCTTATGATCTTCTTCTATCAAATGTGAGAGCTAAAAAATATTCAAAAGTTTTCGAAGTCATGCAACATAACTAATTTCGGAATTTTTAGCCTCTTTCAGTTGAAAAAAAAGTTTTGAGGCACAAACTGTTGCCTTTAGACCATCAGTAGGCTTATGCGCTCCATAAAAATTCCAATTCGCTGTTATTGTARCWMGTTGAACRTGSTAAATATTCTACCTCAATTGAKTGAAAGGAAAGTAACCGCAGAGATAGTCCTTCCTTTGGACACAGCTTTCAAATAACATTATWTGGAAAAATGTTGTCTCTGTGCCATACTCGGTTGTTTCGATCACTGATATGTTGCTCTCCGCACAAGCACATYGTGGTACTGGCTCTCTACTGACCAGAGCAATAGGTTGTTTGAGAAAAGCGTTCATCTTTCTTGTTTTCTTACTAAAACACATTCTCTCATTACTAAAATTTATAAGAAAGATGCAGYCAAAGCTTCAGAACGAATAATTTTGAGACTTTAACAAAACAACAAGCAATTATGTCAACCCATACGCCATCTTCTTAGCAAGTGCGTTTCTTAGTTCGTTTACAGTGATTTATTTAAATGCAAAATATTTAACCTATACAAGTGTGTGTGTGTGTGTGTGTGTGTGTGCATGTGAGTACATATTTCATAATACCGTATTTAGCCGTTGCCTGCCACAGAGATTGCATGCCACACCAAACGACRCACGCGCCACGCCGTCGCGCTGCTTCAAAGCCCACACATTGCACGGTCGCTCGTGAACCGCCGTCTATCCTGCCACACATCAAGCCAAGTGCAAAAATATTGCAGATAAGAGTGCACATCAAGCGGCTGCTTCACCGTTACATAAAACAAACTCAAACTCATCAACTCAGTAGCGCGTATCCTGGCAAATCCGCACTTCACCGCACGCAGACACCCACACACACATGCTGGCACCGGCTCGCGCCCGCATAAGCTTTGCGCATATTAGCGTTAACACATCACCGCCACAAGGCCGTCGTCGGCACAGCGGTGCCATAGCCATAAGCTGTCTCTTATACACATCTAGATGTGCTTTGCGCATATTAGCGTTAACACATCACCGCCACAAGGCCGTCGTCGGCACAGCGGTGCCATAGCCATAAGTATAGCCGTAAGCCGGGTAATAACCGTAACCGTAGCGGTAGGTCGTCACCGGATAGGAGTAGGGATACGCGGTTGGCACATAGCCGGCGGGCACGTAGAGGCCATTGTAGTTGTGCGCGACCACTTGATGGCTATGCGCCGTGACGACGGGCGTTACAGCGACCGTGTAAGAGGGCGCGGTCAGGACAGCGGGTGTGCGCGCGATRGCGGTGGTAGTGGTGGTGATGCCATGTGGAGCCGGCTTGGCCACAGCGCTGCCRATGGAGTGCAGGAGTGCGCTGCAGCAGAGCAAAAAAATGAGCTGCGCGCGTTGGGTGGGAGGTAGAAGTGAAAAGCGAAAATTGAAATGTTGAAATTGAGTAATTCAGTTGATTTTTGAACCATAAAATTTAACACTTACATTTTTCATATTTTTAGGAGTTGTTGACGCGCCGTTGTGCTTTTCGTGATTTGTGATTGGTGACTGCTGGCGCGGCGCTTTGGCTACTGCAATGGCGCGCACGTGGTCACAGCGCATTTTATACAACAAATTATCGGGTGTTCACAGCGCGTTGCTYATACGCCCCGCCACACACACACGCCCCACCTTAATGGGCACAGCAACACTGCCATCGCCAGCGCTTATGTATGTATGCGTGTGTGCGCTTGTGAACCCATGCATGTGTGAAATAAATCAAAATGAAATTACTACACCCACTCACACACACACACGCGCGCGCATTGAATTATTTGCATAGAGCGCATTTGTTGCTGCCTCATGCATATTGCATGGCAACTATTTCCTTTCCAATCGAATGCGATCGAAGTGCTGCAAGTGCTGCGTAATGCCATGCAATCACATGCATTTGTTACACATCTGGAGTGRTGTTGCAAGCAATTTGAATGAACTTGTTGCGCGCCGTCCATTACTCGGCTGCACACGCTTTGTGCGCTCATCGCATGCGGAGCAYGTAGCGCTGCAGCTGTCATATTTGCAATCGGAAAGCAAAATTGTAAACTGCTGATATCCAAAATATTTATGCATATCAACATAAATCGCACACAATATTTTGATTTCGCTTAAATGAGCGCGCGCGCGCCACACATTCCCACACATTATACAGACAGACTTCGGCAATCGGGTGTGTAGCTGGTTCGGCGCGGGGCGTATGAATCTGCCGCGCCGCAGTGCACTGTGGTGTCGAGAACCATTTGTCGGCTAAACAAATTAAATAAAATTTTCGTCAATTAWATTGTGGGGTTTTCCATGAATATTCTTTACAAAAGTTTCACTGAATAAAATACAAAAACAAAAAAAAAATATATATATATATATCTAATAAAATACAAAACTCATACTTATATCACTGTCGATCAGTATTGTTGTTGTAACGTTATCCAATCCCCGTTAGAATGGTAAATATTAGATAAGTTGTCGTCGTTCGACGGAGTCCGACCAAAGGGAGAAGGGTGTGAAATCAGTAGAYTTAGACATAAATTTGCTATGCCAGGAGTATAAGTTTAACCTGCTGTAGTATCCAGAACGAAGCTGCGCAAGGGTCACTCTCGTTTCTCGCGGCAACTCGAGTTCTTCGTCTGCAATGGGTAGTGGTTTGATTCCATCGACGAAGTTGAGGAATGACCTCTTAATGCTCCTACATAGGTTCCGCTTCAAGCATATGACTGCARGGATGATTTCTGCGGAAGCACMCTAGCAGGAACTGCTTGGAGAGCAGTTTATTATGCTCCTTAWCTGAGAGCATACGCGCCTCACTATGCAGGTGTTCGATGGGAGACATCAAGAGAGATGCTRTTGTAGTCCGGTGTGCAGTGTTCTGAYAAGATTGAGGCTGCSTAGTCTTCATTTCGCTGCATCCAAGCGACCATATTGATGTGAAGGAGCACAGATAGTCGAAAAGTAGTTTTCCAATATATTTTGTTACTCTTTTGCAATCACGCGTAT